CCTAATTTATTTTAATTCCCATCACTCAATCTCTTTAACTGCAGCTTCACACATCTCTCACGTCCATCTCACCTTCAGTTTCCCTGCTGTTGCTGCTGCTGCTGCCACCGGAGTCATCTGCTGTTGCTGCCGGACCATATGCTGCTGCCACCACCGGACCCATCTGCTGCTGCTGCTACTGTTGTTGTTCAGCCAAAGCCATCTGCTCTGCTGCTGCTACCGGCTGCCACCACCAGACCCATCTGCTGCTGTTGCCGCTGAACAGCCAAAGCCATCTGCTCTGCTGCTACTGCTACCGCCACCGGACCTGCTGCTGCTGTTGCTACCGCCATCGAGGGCTGCTACTGCTGCTGCTATTGCCACCGGAGCCTGTTGCTGCTACCGCCACCGAGGCCTGCTACTGCTGCTGCTACCACCACCGAAGCCTGCTGCTGCTGCCACCGCCAAACAGCCTAAGCCATCTGCTTTGCTATTGTTGCCGGAGCTATTTGATGTTAATTGGTGGGGAATGGGGATCCCCGCGGGGATCCCCGTTCCCCGTGAGAAACGGAGACGGGGGCAAAATCTGCCTCTCGTCAAAAATCCCCGCGGGAATCCCCGTCCCCGTGATTCACGGGGACGGGGATGGGGAAGGGGTCCCCGGCCCCGCGAGGCCCCGTTGACATCTCTTGGTGGGTGTTGAGCAAGAATTAGTGGCAGTTCTAAAATATTTTGTTTTAACAAAAAAAACCTTGAATAGATATTATTACCTTTTTTTAGTACACAAACTTAAAAGTTTCACCTTTTTTTATATATTTAAAAACATAAAGTTTTTTTTTAATAAAAATTTAAATTTATTATTCATAAATAATATTTTAAAAGTAAAATCTCTAATAAGATGCACCCAACTAGAGCTGGGCATGGTACGGTATGGTAACCGTACCACACTCAAATGATGATAACCGTTTTAAGTGGTAATGAAAAAGAGTTACTACTTTCATACCAATTGACGATTTTTTTGTAATGGCTGTCAACCGTTTTTAATGGTAATGAAACTTACTTTACCAATACCATACCATATTACCATCTTCAAACTTATTTTTTTCGTTATCAATTAATTTAAGTCATTCAAAATTCAATTTTAAAAGTTTAAAATTATCTTAAAAACTTATTTTTTCTATATCATTCTTCATCATCTT